GTGTGTGTGTGTGTGTGTGTGGTTGTGAGGTTGTGAGTTTTGCATATGTGGCTTTGGATGTGTCATTCTTGTTTCTTACCCCTTGTAGTAGAAATTAGATTTTATATATAAACGTAAAAAGGATAGTAATTTATCTATTATCTAAAGAACATGTAATTTATTTGCTGTTTTGAGGAGCTGTAGCAATTTTTTTGTTACCACAAGAGATTATCAGATTGTTATTTTCAGTATACAGACAATTTTATGATGCAAAAACAGGAAACAGCGTGGAGGAGTTATTATCTCGAAGCTTCATTTTAAATAAAACGGAAATTACAGAGAAATCAAGGCTTGTGTGTTTCTTTTTGGTCCACTGAACAAGGGTGAATTTGCCACTTTTGTCCAAACAGTGGCGCTGTTGAGTCTCTTACACAACTTAGGCCTAGCTGTCTTCCACAGTGAGTCATCTATGGATAAAGAAATAAAGAGGTGTTTTTAAAAAATGTATGCTGTGGTCAAAATACTGAATGAACACGAGTGTTTTATTTCACTTTTCACCCTAGATGTGTCTTAAATTCTAATTCTTGTGTAATGACGATAATAATAATAAACATCTGACCAACATAACACAGTAAAAATAGATCAGCAGACAAATGACACTCTAATCATATATGTGCTGTAGTACAATTAGTATTACAAGGCAGAAAAATCCTGGAAACACACAAAGATTATTACTTACATATTTATTTATTATACTCTTTATAAAATCTTGAGTGTGTGTGTGTGCGTGTGTAATGTGATGTTTCAGATAGGAAGTGTAGTGCACAATCCTCAGTCTTTAAGGAAACCCTGCCAAGGTCAGCTGCTGTCTGAGATGAAAATCTAGGAGTGGACGAGCTTGTGTAATGAGCAGGACTATCAATAAGGCAAAATCAAACCAGGAAAGAAGAGAGTGGATGCTAAAAAGCTATAGGACCTTCATTAAACTTAAATATCGCTTAAGCCGGTGTAGTTTCCTGAGTCCGTGTCAGCAATTTTAGAAATGTCAGCCCGAGTAACTTCCAATAATTTCAGAACTTTTTGGTGGAGAATTGATAATTTCACATGGAAATCTGTGATGTAAATGTATACTTTTACCTCCCATGGACGCTATAATAGCCAAGTCAGTCAAATACAGTCAATGAGGATTTTATTAGTGGGCTCAGACCCCATTTTGGCTTCAGCACTGCCTCAGTTCTTCAATACATAGATTCAACCAGGCAGTGGAAACAATTTGGTCCATATTTACATGGTCGCATCATACGCGCTACAGATTTGTTGGCCGCACATCCATAATGTAAATCTCCCATTCGACCTCATCTTAAAGATAATCTATTGGATTGAGACTGGTGACTGTGGAGGAAATTTTAGTGAAACTAACTGTCATGTTCAAAAAAACGGTTGGAGATGATCTGAGTTTTGTGACATGGCGTGTTATCTTGCTGGAAGCATAAGTCAGAAGGTGGCTACATTGTGGTAATAAAGGGACGGACACAACAGCAGGCAGGCTGTGGCATTTAAATGATGCTCAGTTGGTACCAAAGTACCTAAAATGTGCCATGAAAATATTCTCCATGCCATTACACCACCACCAGTAGTCTGAACTGGCATGATGAATCCATGCTTTTATGTTGTTTATGTCAAATTCTCACCTTGCCATCCAAATGTCACAACAGAAACCAAGACTGATCAGAGAAGGCAACACTTTCCTAGTCTCCTCTTGTCAAGTTTTCCGTGTGAATTGTAGCCTCAGTTTCCTGTTCTTCACTGACAAGAGCATCCACTGTGTTCTTCTGTAGTAGCCATTTCAATTTGACTAACTAAAATGTTCACTACATGCCAAAAAAGGTATTTAGTCGCTGCCATGTAGATGCTGATTAAATATTTGTGTTAACCAACAGTGGAACGGGTGTACCTAACAAACTGGCTGGTGATTGTATGTTTTAAATTGTGGAATGTAAACTCCCTCAGATTGACCATGCCCCCAGTTCCCACTAACTTAGGGGGGAAGTGTTCTCTGTGTCCTCCAACATAGCTAAAGATTTTCCAATCCAGTGGTACTGGAACAGTTTGGAGCAGTTTTCAAACAAGTGCAAGGTAGAGCATTCAAAATCAGGATGTATTCTCTTCTTCCCATTTTTTTTCTTTTTGCAAGGAAGACCTATGAGTTCCAGAGGGCCACAGCCCTTTACACCAGGGTTTTCATGCAAGCTTGCGTGGGCGGGGTATATATGTTGGATGAATGTGGCTCACAGAGGGCACGATGCAAGACAGGCAGATGGTGACCTTTGGGAGTAAATTACCATGAACCTTATGACTCTGTTCCCTCAATCTCTCTCTCCTTTAAAGTGTCCGGGCATGCACACTGTCTTTCAATTCAAAGATGTGAAAAAGGAGCGTGCTGTTATCGATAACTCTGGAAGTTTGGGGTTTTGGGGGATGTCACAGTTAAATAGCCCAGTGTCTGCCGGTTTTCCAAAATACAGGCTGTAAAGTAGGCCAACTCCAACCTCGAGCTATCTCTCTTCCCTCTGTCACACATTTCACTATGTGTGGGTGTGAGCGTGAATTTCGGGCTCGGGCGTGAACAGCTGTAGTAGTCGTGACTGCGTGCTCGACGACGGCGGCGCGCTTCGGCTTCACGTCAAGAAGCATCGTTTCAGCACCAAGGCCAGGGCTCGCGGCGAGAACAATAGGCGGCTCCGCGCACAGAGTTGGCTAGGCATCGTCTTTAAAGCGGTCACCCGGAACTTGCCGCTAAGATAACACGGCGCTAAAAATGCTAAAAAAAACCTTTTTGTTTTAAATACTGAACACACATCCACAAGTTATTGAGTACAGCTTGAAAAGATCACCGAGACGTTTAATCTGGATTTATATTTTTATTTTTCGTGTGTGTACGAGAGGACTGTTATTGACGGTCCCCGCAGCTGACGTCACGCGCTAGCAACCGCTTTGGAGATAGGAGGGGGAGGGGGAGACCGAGAGTAGAGAGACACCGGTAGCTTTAGGACGTTAAAAGCCATAGAACCGTCGGACGGGCCGGTCGCTACAAGAAACAGAAAATAGTAAGAGCAGCTCCCCATTAACGGTTAGAACAATAACGACAAGGCTGAAAGATCCCGTTACGAGTGACCGATCAAGTTTCAATAGTTTTAAGCTAGCCAAATTTTAGAAGCTGCTTTGTCTATTATCACTTTGTTATAATATAACAGGACTTGAGAGTGGTGAAAGTGATAACTCTGGATTTTTAAACCCTGAGAGGTTGGGACTAAGTGCAGAAAGCGGTGGTGTTCGAGCTCACCTGCCGCCAGGACTTCTTCTCCGTCACTTCCACACCCGAAGACCGGGAACACCGGAATTTTTTGTGGATTTTTTTTATTTATTTATTTTTTTGTAAAAACACAAGCCGAATCTATAGTATTACACACCGAGGAAAGAGGAGGAGGATAAACACAAACACACACACAGCACAGGCACAAAGAGCGGGGAGCATCCAGAGAGGGGAAGAAGGCGGACCGCACGGAGAGATAGAGCGCGGTGTGAGGACAACAACCCGACTGAGCATCCCTCTTTAATTTCTGATCTGCTCGGGAAACACTCTGCACGGCCGTACAGTACAAACGGTAAGAGCTTTGATGTGTGCAGCCTGTATATTCCCATGTCTTGTTTTGTTATGACGAGAGTATTATATATATATATAAATATATATATGTGTGTGTGCGTGTGTGTGTGTACATTGAGGAGGGGGGGGTGGGTGATCGGACAAAGAGCAAGGGAGCCCCATGACATCCGTGTGTATGCTGTAACCTACAGCTGGCTAAACAAAGAAACCGCTCTATTGCAATGTTTTATCCCCCAGTAACATTGTTTCCTCTTCTTTTTTATGTGTAGGGGATCCTGAACGCCGTTTATCCACGGAAAGGTAACGCATCTGCATACATATTTTCTTTTCATATATTTTTAATTGGAGCGAAAAGTGCTATTATTGTTTTTTGATTGGCTAATTAACATTTGCATAATTGTTTTACCGGAAGCAACTGGAGCCCTTTGTCATCAGCGTGGGCACTAAATACACAAATAATCTATAGTTTCTTTTTCTTTAACGTAATGGATGCATGTATTTTATTATTAAATATATTCATGAAGACATTTGATTGGGAATTTATCATCTTTTTACAACATTAAAATTGCAATTTGGTTAATACTATAACACATGTGATAAATGTTTTATAGGGTAAAATAACCAAGGAAAGTATCCTACTGTAATATAAATCTGTGAAAATGAATTATTATTATATAAATAAATATTCTAAGGATAATAATAGTTATTTTTCAATTGTTTTCTTTTCCTCTCCATGTTTCTGGCTATGTCCCAAAGACTCCTCCAGCATCAGTCGCTCCTCTCCAGGGATAGCTGCTCCCGATCTGTTTGCCCCTGAGCCCTGCAGTACCCAGTCGTCCTCTCCACTTTGTCCCGATGAAGGAGGCTGATGCCATCAAGTTGTTTGTGGGGCAGATTCCCCGTAATCTGGAGGAGAAGGACCTCAAGCCTATCTTTGAGCAGTTCGGCAAGATCTATGAGCTAACTGTGATTAAGGACAAATACACTGGCATGCACAAAGGTAGGATCTGCCTTCGTAACCTAGAGTTAAAAAGATGCCTCCGGTTCTTGATAGATGTGCGACACAGAGGCAGATAGATGAGTGAAAATATTTCTACGTGTATGTCACGTGTATCCATGGAAACTGTCACAGCGCCTTCGTGTCTTCATTTTGAGTTGAGGCATGAGATCCCGAAGACGAGCAAGCAAACTCGGTTACTGCCCGTACACTGCGAGCGAACTCGCTGTTTTGCAGCAGCATGCTTCATAAAACAATCGGGTGCCTAATGTATTTAAAAATTTACTCCGATTTGTAAAGCTTGTGCTCCACAGGCGGAAAAAGAATGTGATAAAAAGTTTTATAATATATGATAAAGAGTGGAAATAAGGATCTCCTGATAGATGCTATGAATGAAAAATAACTTTCTACTGTAGCAATACCCATTCAGGCACACACATGCACACACACACACACACACACACTGACCTGGGGTCCTTTGTGTTATGAGCCAGATTAGACTGTATGCTCCAATCAGTGTAATGGGGCTGTAAGCCAGGGTGACACAAGGGAAAGAATCTGTTGTTTTGAGAATCCCCACAGCCACAGTAAGCCGCTCTTAAAAGCAATGAGATGGACCATAAGATGCATGTGTGTCTATGTGTGTGTGTGCCATGTACTGATCTGAGTGCCTTGTCAGGTGTGTGTCTTATCATTCTTTGTATTTCTTTTTTCTTTTTGTTTTTAATCTCATGGCACCATTAAATCCCGAGATGTGCACTCCGTGAATGTTAACTTCATTTCTCTAATCTGAATCTACATGAGCCTGTCTGAGATGTCACTGGGATGCTAACCTGCTGCTAATCTTGTTGTCTTAGTGCTGGTGACAGGTGTAGTAAACAGCTCTGGGCAGCCAGCTCTACTACCCACCCTTCCCTCACACACACAGACACAGGTACAACACGTAGGAAAACAGAGGGAGTGTATCTGGAGTGATCGTGAGGCATGCATAGTGGTTGGTATAGGGCAAGAACCTGACAGTGGCAAGCCTGCAAGGCCTTGTTAGCCCCACGCACACGTCTGTGGTGCTGTCATGTGTGCTGACTCGTGGCGTGCCGTACTGAGATGTGCCGTGCCGTGGAGTGTCCTCTTCTGCTCTAGAGTAACATCATCAGGGAGCATAGTTACCGTACAATGCATGATTATATATCTATATTTTAATCTTCACGCGTATATCCAGAATATATGATGACAAGTAATCAGGAAAGGTATTAGAAAAGACAACATTTAAAAGATTTAAATGGATGATGATGGAGAGTGTGTGTGTGTATGTTTGTGTGTGTGTGTGTGGGGGGGTGCAATATAACAATACAGTCTCAAGGCAGTGGTGAAGTAGTCATAATCCTTAATGTATTTATTCATGTTCCCGGACACCAATGTTTCATTTCTTCATGTCTTGCACACATTTTTGTTTTTAATCTGTTTGGTGTCATGTGTAGTGATTTGTCCACATTCGGAGACTGAAAGGATTTGTGGCAGAGGGAATCATTTCCCCGCTTATACCAGAGATCACAGTTAGAGTCAGAAACGAGACAGATATTTACAGTTAATTTGTGTCATACATCATTAATTGTCTTTAAAAACCAAATTGATTATGTTTAGAGAAAGATCAAGGTTTGGGTTAAAGTGCATCACATCGCCCTGTTGTCTTGGTTGCCAGGGTGACACAGCCTCGGTCCAGACTCGGGGCTGCAGACATGAAATATACCTCCTATTAAAAAAACATTACCTTCAAAGTTGTGCCAACTGTCTTGAAAAACAATGACAATTTGTGTCCGTGAACATGAACAAATACATTACTTTTTTTTGTGACTATTTCACGTTTTGCTCTGAGACCCGGCTGACAAAGACAGAGATAGAGGATGACAAATATTAGAGCCGTACCCTGACCTTTTCTACCATTACTCTCTCCCTCTCTCTTTCTCGTTCTCTGCCTCTTTCTGTCTGACAGGATGTGCGTTTCTGACGTACTGTGCGAGAGAGTCTGCGCTGAAAGCCCAGAGCGCTCTTCATGAGCAGAAAACACTACCAGGGGTAAGTGCACATCAACAGACATAAATACACACACACAAACATCCCCAGATAAATCACACTTAACACTTATGTAACAATACACACAAGCTTCCATGTACATTCCTGTTGTAGCAAACATACAGACTCTGCCATCCATTTTATCCACACACACACATACAAGTGGCCTCGCATCAGTGTGCGTCTGTGTGATTGGAGGTTCAGCTCCCATTAGTAACACTGACATAACTCAGCAGCCGGCAGGCGTCTTGCTGCTAAGGACAAACACTCCCTCTCGCTGGAGACACATAGGGTACTCCGTAAGCATCATCATCTCCATTTCTCTATCTTTCTCTGTCGCTCCATCTCTCTGTCGGCCCCTGCGTTAGCCTCCGGTGATAGCTCCCGCCTAGAGAGTGTATGTAATTAATGTGGCCATTCCCCTTTGTCTCATCCCAGTCTCCCTCCGGTCGCTCCAGTGAGGGATTGTGCGCTGCACCGGGGCCGGGGTAGGACGGTGTTCATTATGGATGGGAAACTGCGAGAGCGGTGTCTGTCTCGCAGGCTCTACCTCTCTGTCACTCCCGCTCTCTCTCTCTCTCTTTTTCTTCCCTCTCTGACCTGATTTCCACTGCAGTTAAAAACAGATATTACAGTATGCGTTTTGGAGCATTTTGTATTTTTGCACACTGTGTGGCTAAAATGCGAAGCGTTTAATCGAAATGACATTTTCCCAGTTTTATCCGACTCCCATTTTCCACCATTTATAACAGAATAGTAAGCGTGCTTCTACCATCTCTGAGGCGCTAGCACTCTCTCGAATTCTCTGTTCGTTGACTTGCTAATGATCAGAATTTCACTTCATGCACCTTCTTCCTGAGCCAGAGTGTTGATAAGATCTGTGTGAAAAACAAATGTGGAAAAAGAGCGTGAGGAAAAGGCGTTGGGGGAAGGGAAGTGTTGTGACACACACAAGCATGAAATCTCTGCATACATATTGCAGTCATGCATGCTTTTTTTGAACCTCTATGCAGTCACACATTCGCAGTCACCTATACAAACACACTATAGTGACAGTAATCCAATTAGAGACTGCTAAGAAGCCTGACCTTTTTTCATAATCACCTTTCTGCTGTCTGCTGTGTCTCCCTTTTCTTGTGTGCACTGCCCTTTGTCCTTTAACTCATTCTTAGTTTCTCTACATTCCTCTGTGATGTCTCTAAGCGCAAAAGGGAAATCATCTATACGGCTGACTTACAAGAACATAATTGCTGCAAATTTCTAGATAAATTGTGATAGATATTCTGGACACACAGAGGAAACATTTGCAGGGCGGATACTCATTAGCTGCAAAGATTTACTAAAGAGTCAGCATGTAACAATCAGAAGCACCACTCCCCTGAGGAAGGCTGGTGCTGAAACAAGGGTGTGGCATTCGTGGGTTGATATAGGCCTGGACTCTTCATGAAAAGCATAACTTTTTCTGCATTTGGTGTGTCTTGGTTTCCGGTTGGATCACTTATTCTGTCTAATTTGAGCCAGAAGTGTTCATAATGAAGCACTTGCAAGAATTTTAGCATGTCTGAGCTCAGTGAATTGGTTCATGAATAGCAGTAAATGAGGGGCTGACACAGTTTGTCATCAACACTTCCCTTTAGTTGAAGCACTCACAAATATTTCCATCAGCAGCCCCATTAATCACTCTGGATGTCGTTTGGGGTTGGAATGAGGACCAAAGTGCAGCCACTGAAGTAGAGGGAAGTAACAAAAGTCGAGTCTTTAGTTTGGTTGAGATAAAAAGCCCTAAAAGGGAAGTGACACGCAAATTCAAAAAAATAAACTCAAAGAGCTTGGGAATCAATCAAGAGAATATGGAAACAAGAAGGGGAAGACAGGACTACACAAATATACACAGATGAAAACGGTCAACGATGGATGAGGACGGTTAGGGTGGGGCAGGTGATCTAGGGGGGAAAAGACCAGAAAGTAAAACTAGTACAAGACACAAAATTAGCATTCAGAGTAAAACGATAAACAAAAGACAAATAGGACTGAGTATGAAAGGGTACTAAACAAAAAGACAGCGACAGGAAAGCACAGGAGGAAAAAGTCATCAAGACATAGAGAGAGAGAGAAAATGAAGAAACACTACCTAAACTAAAAACACACGAACAGACATGTATTAATCTCAAAAGAGGAACCAAAGCCCGGTTAAAATAAATGAATCAAAATTGTCTCCAATACTAATACAGTAATGAAATCAAAACAAGAAGCACAGCTCAATCATATTTAACAAATATCCAGAGCCATGACACTGGTTTGGTGACTACAGCTAACGAATGATAACATTTTAAAGCGATTAACTAAATGAAATTAAATGTCTCCATTTAATTCTATACTTTGATGCTTGACTTTGGTAACTTTGTATAGAGCAGCTAAGGTTTAGCTCTGCTATCACATTTCACTAACCACTGAAACCTGTGTGTCAACCCGGTCTCGTGCCAAAGTGTGAAAAATCTGTTTGTTCCTGATCATGGACACAAATATTGTTGTCAGCACGACTTTGAAACTATTGTATTTCGGTGCTAAGTATATGCTTTGTGTGAAAACCAAGAAAATTTTCCATTTTTCCAAAACTATTCCAGTAGTTTAAATATCCAATTCGCTAGTTGTGCATTTCTTTGTAAGTGGCGTTTGGTTATTAAGAACATTAAAGGCTCCATTGCCTACATATTTACGACTCTGTCACATGTCAGTCAACGGCAGAACTGGCTATCGTTTCTGTCTCCTTGAAAGTAACAATTTGGGATCCGGCCACTTTGACCTTCCAGCGATTATTTCTCCCATTATCTCTGAAACTCTGAAAATCTCTGGCTGGCGCGTCACAGTTTAAATCGCTAAACCTAACCAGGCTGTTTTTAATACCAAAAGCTATTATATTTTAAATGGATAACATCTTAAAAAATAAGACAAATCATTAAAAATCTGTCACATGTAAGATTCGAAACAAAGTTTCTGGTATGACCGGTAAAATTTTTTTTTTTCTTTTAAAAGTGGAAAATATGAACTTTTTGTACCCAAACATAAATCAGTAAATCCGAGAATAGCGGAATAAAAATCGTGTTCAGGGACACAAATGTAAGGACAGGAAATCTGAGTACAGGACCACAGAAAAGCTGGAAAATTCGTTTACAGAAACGCAAGTTAATAGATTAGAGCTTGTGACTGTTTCGGGAACTGAGACTGTGTTGCGCATGTCTCCCTTCTCCCCCGTCTCCGTTCCCTTGCCTATATTGACTTCTTTGACGGGATTTAGAAATGACTTAAGAAGATTTTTCACTCTCTTTCACACATCCTCTCTTTGTCCCATTCTTTTCTCTCCCTAAGAAATGCTTTTTCATCTCTTCCGTATTCTTCCTTTTATTTCCCCAGACCTGCCATATGCTTTCTCTCTCATTCAATTTCATCATCACACACACCCACACACACACACACACACACTCTCAAATCCCCTCTGTCCTGTGTTCAACTCCTCCTCCTGACGTCTTCCAGTTTCTCTACAGCAGTAGAATATTACACTAGCCTGAACCCTTTCATTTCATGGTATTCCTCTCTCATCCCTCCTTTTCCCTCCCTGCTGTCTTTTACTCATTTTTTTCTCTCACTGCACACTAGCGCTTCCTCCTCGGATTCTCATTTCACAGTCATTAATGGTAACCCTTCTGAGTCCTCCTTCTCTCACGCGTGCGCCATCTCCCTCCTCCACCCTCCCCCTCGCAGTTCCTCTACCCCTCGTCTCATTTCCCCTCCTCTTGATTAGTTGACCCCTTTGACCGTTTCACCCCCC